AAAAATTTAGTCAAATTTTGGAAGATGGCTCAGTGGTTGAATGTCGACCTATGAACCAGGAGGTCACAGTCAGGGCACAGGCCGGGGTTGCGGGCTCGATCCCCAATATAGGGTGTGCAGGAGGCAGCCGATCAATCATTCTCCATCATCATTAATGTTTCTATCTCTCTCTCCCTCTCCCTTCCTCTCTGTAGAAAGTCAATAGAAATGTATTAAAAAAATGAGCAAAGGATATAAATACACATTTTGGAAATGTCCCCCTATAAAAGTATATGAAACGTACACATTTTTAAATATATTTTATTGATTTTTTACAGAGAGGAAGGGAGAGGGGTAGAGAGTTAGAAACATCAATGAGAGAGAAACATCGATCAGCTGCCTCCTGCACACTCCCTACTGGGGATGTGCCTGCAACCAAGGTACATGCCCTTGACCGGAATCGAACCTGGGACCCTTCAGTCTGCAGGCTGATGCTCTATCCACTGAGTGCAATGCGTCAGGGCGAAACGTACACATTTAGTTTAAATAACCAATCAAGGTATATCCAAGTGAAGAAATAGAGCATTCCCAGTATTCTGATTGCCCTTCCTCCCATCCAGAGAGAACCGTTATCCCAAATTTTTTGTTCCTTCTACCTTTTTCTGTCCAGTTTACCGTTTGTGTCCGTTCTCTCTTGCTGTAAGCAGGCCATCTCCAAGCTTCGGGGCTTAAACCATCAGCAGGTTATTATTTCTCCCAGTTTTGTGGACTGACTGGGCAGTTTCCTCTGTGTGATGTTGAGGTCATTCATGTGACAGCGTTCACCTGGTTGCTTGGCTGGAAGGTCTAAGAAAGCATCTCTCCCCGGAGCCCAGGCGCTGCCCACAGGGCACTGCAGTGCTGTGTCACGTGGCCTGTGCAGTCAGGGTCTCCTCCGGGGGCCCCCGCATGTCCCCTCTCTCCACCAAGAGAGCCTACATACCTCTGACGCAGGGCAGCTGGGTTCCAAGAGAACAAAGCATAATCTCCCAGATCATGCGGGCCAGTCACTGCGCCCTGTCGATCAGTCGTCACAGGGACACTCAGATTCCATGGGAAGCCCATAGCAGCCGTCGGCACTGACCGGGAGGGGGGCACTGTTGGTTGCCTGCCTTGGAGGCTGGTACCCACACCATCCATGTCCAGATTGAACCACACTGCAGGGGACCCAGGTCCCTCACTTCATTCCCAAATGAATCCCTTGTGAGGCGGGCCCAGGCCATGTGTCCAGCCAGGCTGAGGGTCATCAGGAGAGCAGTCCAGCGCTGACACTGCGGTCTGGCCCATTAATCTAGGGCAACAACCGAGCACCTGGCGCTGTCACGGGGAAGGTGCCCGGTTGCAGCCAGGAGTCTGTTGGAAGGTCAGGCCTGTCTCATGTGCCAGTTGGCGCTTTAGTTTTCGGCATGTGACCCGAGGACTTCGGGTTCAGTGGGCTGTGCGGTCTTGTTCCGTTTCTTTCTGTAGTTCTGAGTTTTTAGGGTCTCACGTAGAAGTAACTTTAAGGCCCACATTTATCATCCTTTAGGCAAGAGGAAGTAAGGAGGGAGGGACCCCACACTATGCGTGGGAGATGGGCTGGTGGGAACAGCACTTTGGTCATGAGAAGCTGATCTCATGACAGAGTTTCAAGTCTCCCAGAATGTGTGCAGGCAGGCCAGGCAGTTGGCACCTCCCTGCCTGTGGTACCACATGTCCCCCTGGGCAGCCCATTTTCCTGGACCCGTCCTCTAAGCTTGGCCAGAACCGGGTGGGTTCCTGTGGCCGTGAAGGAGGAAACAGGAGACAGTGGGAGTCTCCTTTGCAGTGATCGTTCCCAGCATTTCACATAGGCTGGGAGGGGGCACTGCCTCATTCCAGCTCAGCTCTCTGAGAAAGGACCAAGCCAGCTGGCCCCTCACCTGCCAGCACAGCGTCCTGGGGAGAGAGGTGTTGTCTGAGCTTTGTAGCTGGCGGCCAGCTGGTGCAGTGAGAGCCAGAAGGCAGCCTCGGGCCCCTGAGCTCCACCTGCCCTGGCCTGGGCGCAGTCATAGCATCCACAAGGGCACTGACAGCATTTCTGTGGGTGACAGCATTTAGAGCTTGGCAAACCTGCGGGCCGCACTCACTCCCCGGGGGGCTGATCACAGGATTGGGCTCCTGGGCATGTGTTTAAATGCAGCTTCACTATTTATGGCGCCGCCTTTTTCTTTCCCCTCTCCTTCCCCTTTGCTTCTCCCTCCTTCCCTTTATCCTCCCCGTTTTCTCTTTCTCCCTTTTCTTTCTTAGGTTTGTCAGAACAGATGCTCTTGGGAGGATTTCTCTGTTGGAACAGCTTTGCAGGCTGCCTCAGAGGAATTCAGGGGCTCCGGTTTTCTCCACGACACCCACACTTGGGGAGCGGCCAGTTGTGGGCAGACATCTCGCTTCGGAAGAGTATGGCTGGCATTGGGTGGCAAACATTACTCATGGCACACAGCTGCTCGCCTCCTCTGTGTGGGGGCGGGAGGTGCTGGGCCACCATCCATTCCGTCCCAGGGGCCTTCACTTTCCTGCAAGGCCTCTAAAAAGGAGAGTGTCCCCCCTCCCCCTGCCCTCACACCCCACCCCCGCCGCTCAATATGTCCAGCCCCAGAGGAGCTGGGCCTTGCTGCCCTTCCCTGGAAGCTCTGGGGTAGGTGGCAGCATCAAGGCATGTCGCAGTCTTGGGTCCCAGGGGAGGCCAGTCAGTCACCTGACCTGTGGGCCGCCAGGCCCCCTTCACCCTGTTGGTCGTGAGTTTTTCTCATGTCCTTCCCAGCAATCAGGTCCCTTTCCGGCTGGAGGGTCCTGTTTCTGCAGGCTCCAGCAAGGGCCGGGGACAACTCTGTGCTTCGAGGGGTCCAGCGGATGCTCCCTGGCCGTTTCTGAGCCTGGGAGACACTTCCTCCCAGCTCCGGTTTTGGGTTGGCTCTTGGTGAAGGTGAGGGAGTCAGACCCACCGCCAGGAGGGAAGGGTTTGGACCTGTCTCGCGGGGGCTCATTCTGAAGCTGGGGGAGGATTTGGCCCTGTGGGCCTACTGGTTCCTCCCTTGCTGCATTTGGGAGGTATTTCACCTGGGGCTTCCGCGGACACGGGGCGGGAGGGTGTGTGTGTGTGTGTGTGTGACTGGTGACTGGGATTCGGGCTGCCCACGCACACATGCACACGCCTGTTTGCTCGTGTGGCTTTTTCCACAGCAGAGAGAAGACGGCTCTGGGATGGTCTGGCCCAGGCCTCTCCTCGCCACCTGCCTTTGATCCGTCGACACTGCCCGGTGTGCACTCCCTTCCGATCCCGAGCCTGCCTGGGTGTTTCACCCCTGGGGTGAACGTCCGTTCCTTTCCAGTCACCTTCTGTTTTAGCTTTTCCCAGCTCAGGAACAGAGCAGCCAGAGTTCTTGCTTACAGTCCTCAGGTCACAAGTGGGAGCAGGCGGTCCTGTGTCAGTGCGGCCGTGCTGCTGCGGCTGGTTTGGCTCAGCAGCCGGCTCTACAGCTCGTACCTCACTTCTTGACGCTGGGCTGGCTTCTGGCTCTTCCCTGCTTACCTTTAGGCGCTCTCGTCACAGGCAGTTATGATATTACTGACAGACCCGAGAAGCTGTGCCTCTGTCCGTGAGCTTGTAGGTGGAGGCTGGGACCGAAGGACAGTCCTGGGGATGTTGGAGGGAGGGAGAGCGTTTCCGGGTCCCCGGCAACAGCAACTCTGAACTACAGCTCAGAGGCTGGCGCCCTGTGACACGTGCCTGTTGCCAATGCCACGTTCCCCCTCACCAAATGGAGCCCCGCCCGCCTGCCAGGTGACTCCCCCCAGCTCAGCAAGTACATAGCCCCACTTGGGGAAAGTTTGCAGACATCACGGGGTGGGTGGATTTGCTGGTTAAGCCACGGGTGAAGGAAGGGCTGGGGGTGTGGCTTTGTTATGGCTCATCACAGCCAGACAGCCATACATGGTCACTGCAGCTCCAGGGCTGTGGCCCGGTGACTCACCCCCAACAGGCTGATGGGACGGGAACAGCCAGAGCTAGTGGAGGGCTGCTGAAACCTGGGGGCTGAGAGCCCCAAGTGTCACTGTCACCTGCCCAGAAACAGTCTGGGGCAGCTCTGCGTAGACTTAGCCTCCGAGAAGAGGTTCCGAAGAGCCGGAAGGCAAGCCGCTGCCACTTGTCAGATTCTGGGCCAGGACAGGACAGCCTGGCCCTGTCGCTTCTCTGGAATGTGTTCCTAGGAGTGGGCATTGACTTTAGTGTCAACTTGGTTCTTTCTTGAAAGGAGGACCTGCTTATTTTCCCTAGAAAATGCTGCTCTTGAGACCGGCTGGTGTGGTAGTTAGGGAGAGGAGAGCGAGGTTAGATACTCAGTCACGGCTGGTGCAGTGCAGGCTCACTTGGCGCCAGGCCATGGAACTGCTCTGAGCATTTTTACTGGAGACACTTGTGGGCTTTCCAGGCATTAAGTGAGGCCTTTGACAGAGAAACTGCGGCCAGACCAGCAGCTCTTGGGGTCAGGGTCAGAGTTTATTCTCTCTCCAGGGACAGCCTGGGGAGGTTTCTGGAGGCAGAGGACTGCCCAGCTTTCTGTAGTTCCCTGAGCCCGTGAATGAGAGAGACAGGGAGCGGCCCAGAGGGAACTGGCAGAGCCCTTTGGGTGCCGCAGGGAAGGGGCCGATTCCCGAGAGCCTGGTGATGAAACGTCTGCCTTCCCACACGTTCACCTGGCATGACAGACAGAGAACTTAGAGCGAAGTCGAAGGGTTTTCATAGAGCAGGTGTATCCCCTTGAAACATCTGCCCTTTCTTCTAAGATTTGTAAAAAATGTTAAACTGACCCTGTCTTTTTTTTTGCAATGCTGACAGTGTTGTGTGTGTGTCTTTTTACTTTTTAAAAAGTCGTTACCTGGCAAGACACAAGGTGGCTATTTCTGGCTGGTCCCTTGATACTTTCTGGGTTTTGAAACTTTCCTGCCAGTAAACCCAGGAATCGCAGAGCCCCGGGTCGCTGGGCTCGCAGAGGGTGTCTGGAGTTGTTTGCCCTCCGTGAACTTGTTGACATTCTCCGTCTCCCACATTTCTCACCTGGGAGTTTCGGGCTCGTGCTGAGGCTGCGTGGCATCCTCTGTCCACACTGACACGCAGGCCCTTTTCCTCTCCCCAGCCATGGATTTCCCTCAGCACAGCCAGCACGTCTTGGAGCAGCTGAACCAGCAGCGGCAGCAGGGGCTTTTGTGTGACTGCACTTTTGTGGTGGACGGTGTTGATTTTAAGGCCCATAAAGCAGTGCTGGCCGCCTGCAGCGAGTACTTCAAGATGCTCTTCGTGGACCAGAAGGATGTGGTGCAACTGGACATCAGTAACGCAGCAGGTACCCTGTTGGGTCCAGGGGCAAGTTTGTTGAGGGCCAGAAGCTCTGGCTGACCCTGTGCCCTCCTAACACAGTCCCTGCCCTCCTGGGAGCAATACCTTCAGGCTGTGGGGTGCACCAGGCCTCCCATACAGGACCCATGAGTGTGTGGGTACCAAGTTTCTACCACATTTTGGGGGCCTGTTTAGACTGGGAGCAGGTGGTGAGGGGAGAACTGGCAGGAAGGGCTCACCATGAGCTCCAGGCCAGAGTGAACACAGACAACAGGTGGGCTGTGAGTCCTGAACCCCCAATTCCAGTGCTAACCATGAGGAGGATGGCAAGGGTTGGGGCTGGGGCAGGGGATCAGGAAGGCCTTGGGACTGAAGAAGGAACTGGTCAGATTTGGTCTCCCAACTCAGCATGGCATGATGTGCTATGAGGTCAGGGCAAGGTCATGTTCCCCCATTTTATAGATGCAGAAACTGAGACCCAAAGAGTTCAGGTGACTGGCCTGGAGGTCAGCGAGAGAGTTTGTGGCAGAGCGCCGATGAAAGTCCTTACTATCACTTTGGTTGGATTGCCTTCCGGCGGTGAGGAGTAGCGGCGGGGTAGAGTGTGTCCAGGGTGGGCATTTACACGGTCTGTCCTTCATGCAGGGCAGGTGTTCACACCTTCTATCTTCTGTGCAGAGCAGGCGTTCACACCTTCTGTCTTCTGTGCAAGGCAGGTGTTCACACCCTCTGTCCTCCGTTGAATCCTCTGTGCAGGCTGGGCTTTCCCACCTTCTGTCCTCCGTGTAGGGCGAGTAGTCACACCTCTCTTTTCTGTGTAGGGTGGGCGTTCACACCCTCTGCCCTCTGGTTGTACCCCATTTGGAGGCTGTTATCTGGGCTGAGACCCCCCCCGCCCCCAGTTGCTTGCCTCTCTGCCAGCACAGGAGATGGGGAGAGGACGGCCTGTCACCTTGCTCTTTACAATTCCCTGGATCCTGCCGCCGAGTGTCACCTGCTGGTGCCAGGCCTGGAGGCAGGCCTGTGATGGCTGTCTGTGTCCTTGGCAGGCCTGGGGCAGGTACTGGAGTTTATTTACACGGCCAAGCTCAGCCTGAGCTCTGAGAATGTGGACGATGTGCTGGCCGTGGCCAGCTTCCTGCAGATGCAGGACATCATCACGGCCTGCCATGCCCTCAAGTCACTCGCCGAGCCGGCCACCAGCCCTGGGGAGAATATGGAGGCCTTGGCCATGGAAGGTAAGATTGTTGGCAGGCTTTCCTGAGCAGGTGGCTCTTGATGGGGGCTCTGACTCTGTCACCTCTCTGGGTCTCAGTTTCCTCCTCTGGCCTTGCCTGCGTTGTGGGGTGCTGGTGAGGTTTAGCTGCAGTAGAGTCTGAGAAAGGCCTCTTGGAGGCGCCCCTTGCCTACCCTGCCCCCCCTTTCTCCAGCTCCCCTGTGCTTCACTGCTGAGAACTGGCAGTGGGCCTGGTTCAAGGCCACGCACATGGCGCGCTCCTCCTGCACGCTCCTCTCTGTGCCCTTCCTCTGTTCCCCTCACTGCCTCAGAAAAGCTCCTGACACCTGGTTTGGGCCAGGTTCCTTGTGAAACACTTTCAGAGAACCCGCTCCTCTCCTTCTAAGCACTGACTGGCAGCATTGATATTTCACCTGTGAGGTCTGTGTCCCGGCCGGTCTGTGCGCCCCCCAGAAGCAGCAGCTATGGTTGGTATGTCCAGGCCTCTTGGCGGCCAGGTGCACAGTAGGTGCCTTGTGCATAATCTGTTGAATGAACAAACCAAGAAACCACTACTTAGATGTACCTCCAGGGAGGATCCAGAAGAGCTGGCGAGTTCTGGGAACCCTCACCTGTCCAAGTGGTGGCACTTGATGGGAAACAGAAGGTCTGTCTGGTTCCATCTCCAGGAGGGGACAGGAGAGCCAAAGAGAAGGCTGCGGCCACCACGCTGAGTGAGCTGAACCCTGCTGGAGGCAGTCCACCCAGGGGCCCAGGCAGGGAGCCCAAGGAGGAGCGAGGCGGTCAGGCAGAGAGTGCGGCCAGCGGTGAGTTGTGACGCTGAAGCCAACTGTTCCACCATCTCCCTGGGCCCCTGTACAGTGAGGGGCTTCCTCAGGAGGCTCCTGGGGCTGGGAATAGAGTGGCACCCTTGAGCTCAGGTTACCCCGAAGGAACCACTGTTGATCTGGGGTGTCTGGTCCAGCCAGAGCAGAGGCCAAACAGCCTGAGCTTGGATGTGCTGGCCCCACCCAGACCCCACCCACCCTTGAGCCACAGCCACTACAGGGGCCTGGTCCAGGGAGCCACTCCGTCCCTGGATGGAGTCGATAGGGTCTCAGTCCCGCCTCGCCACCCCAGGTGCAGAGCAGACGGAGAAGGCCGATGCCCCCCGGGAGCCACCGCCAGTAGAGCCCAAGCCCGACCCCACCGGTGGCATGGCTGCTGCTGAAGCCGAGGCCGCCTTGTCGGAGAGCTCAGAGCAAGGTACCGCCACCCAGCCAGGCCCGCCCTCCCTCGCACACCTCCCCCTCACACCGTTCCCCCAGGTCCCTCTCCTCCCACTACGGCTGATCCCACCCCGAGCCACCCACTCGCTTCAGCTTGGGGGCCAACGTCTTTTCTCATTCGTGAATGTGGACATCAGTCTCTTGGTTGTGTTACCTGGCTGTGCTTCCCGCTGGCACAGAACATTGCTGACACCCAGGGCCGAGCACCGAGGGGAGCCTTGTACCCACACCACACAACCCCGTGCTTGTTGGCTGACGGTGCCCTTGCTGCCCCGCAGCCCGCCAGGGTGCCCATGCCCTGAGGCTGCCTCCATCCTCCAAGCAGCCAGTGTCCTGATCAGCAGCTCCTCTGGCGCTGCCTTGGCCAGGGCTGGGACCATTTATTGGTGGTGCCCAGGCATTACCAGGCTCTGCCAGGTGCCCATGCAGAGAGAAGGGCCTGTGTCCCGGAGCCAGGTTGGCCTCCTGGCATTTGTCTAACTCTGAGGTCACGTCCCTTTGGGAGCCCCTGTGCCCTCCCTGGCCCCTCAGTGCCTGCCCTCCTCATCTCAGAAATGCAGGTGGAGCCAGCCAGGAAAGGAGAAGAGGGCGAGGAGGACGCCATGCCTTCTGGGGTCAAGGAAGAAGGGCCGCAGCTGGACAAGGGGGATGCCCCCGAGGAGAGTGAGGAGTCGGCCAGCACGGACTCGGGCCAGGAGCTGGGCGCAGAGGCCCGGGGCCTGCGCCCAAGCACCTATGGCGACCGTACCGAGTCCAAGGCCTATGGCTCCATCATCCACAAGTGCGAGGTGCGGCCACAGGTGGCACCACCCGCCCTGCCCAGCCCCATCCTCCGCCCAGCAGCCCCCTCACACCCGATTCCCGCGCCCTGCAGGACTGTGGGAAGGAGTTCACACACACGGGGAACTTCAAGCGGCACATCCGCATCCACACAGGCGAGAAGCCCTTCTCGTGCCGGGAGTGCAGCAAGGCCTTCTCTGATCCAGCCGCCTGCAAGGCCCACGAGAAGACGCACAGGTGCAGTGCCCGGCCTGCTGCTTGTCCCGCTGGCTCAGCCCTGGTAGGACCCCAGCGACCCTTCCTCTCCCTTCTGACCACCAGCCCGCTGAAGCCCTACGGCTGCGAGGAGTGCGGCAAGAGCTACCGG